CTAAGCTGACGCACACTTGGAGTGGCCCCATCAGACATGCGCTTGTCTCCCTTAGACATAGACCAAGGAGCGGAAGCTGCCACATGGTTCTCCGTAGTGGCTATGCCGTCCGTCTGTCTGTCTCTCTGCACCCTGGTGGCCAAGAATCCTGCAGGCCAGAGGGGCCAGCAGAGCAGCGAGAGGCAGGGCATCTGTGGATCTCTGTAAGGGCTGTCTTTTTCCAAATCCGCCTCGCCTGTTCTGAAACACTGTCTGCCTGTGTCCTGTGTCCTTCCCAAGGGCTGAGGCTCATCGGAATCCAGCTGGCTCAGGGCCTTTGTTGAAAATCACTTTCCACCCAGGCACTGCAGCGGTTCAGTGGAGCTTCCAGACCAGGACAGCCCGGCCACCGCCCTCTGGAGCCTGCCTCCTAACGTCCTGTGGAGCAGTGAGGTGAGGCACGGCCACGCTCTGGCGGTAACCCCCTGGGTTCCCCGTGAGGGTCCAGCTCAGCGGCAGTACGGCCCCACTATCTGTGTGTCCACCAGGCTGTCTTGGTCACCCTCTTGACACTGGGTACAGCAGTCTGTCCCCGTCGTCTGGCCTCCTTCAGACACATGGCTCCACACGAGTTTTAGAATAGATCCGCTGGCAGCCTCCAGGAGGCCCCTCCAGGATTTTGAGGAAGACGCTGATCCTGAAAGCCCCACACGACGCTGCAGGCAGAGCTGATACCAGGCGCGTCAGAAAGTCAGGTCTGTTTGGGTAAAAGGAACAGCTTGTCTCCGGAGACCCGGTTGGCGTCCCGTCCTTTCTTCCCGCTTCTCGGCTGGAGGATCTGTGTGAGGGGGGACTCCGCCAGCATGGCGCGACTGTCTGCAGGGGCTCCCACGGGAGCAGGTGCCAGGGCTTGACAGCGGTGATCGGGGGTCACGGAGAGCCTGCTGGCGACTGCACTCAGCCCCAGGGCGGTGGCCTGCTGCCGTGGGGGTGGCCTCATGTGGCACACAAGGACTGTCCGATAGGCCACCCTCTGCAGCGGACACTGCTGTCGGTGCTGGTGAGTCTGGCCCGGCCCACAGCAGCCCCCGATACAACAGGATGAGGCCCCACCGGTGCTGCGCCATCGCACACTGGTCACACTGGCCAGCTTGTCCATGTCCTTTCCGCTGCGCCCAGCATGCGGTCTTCCCCAGGGACCAGTCTCTCCGGGTCACATGCCCATCTTGCTCCCATGCTTTTCGCCAGCACCGTCACGCACACACTCGAGTCCTCCCCAGTCTTCCTCGTCCGATGTCCCCTGCCGGCCTGTGCCTCCACAGACCCTGGGAGCATTCTGACTCCCGACTGGGGGCCAGGCAGCCAGCCTCAGCCACACTGCAGTCAGCTTCAAGCCCAGGTTGTCTGTGGCTCCCGTTGATTCAGACTCAGAAAGAAAAAAGCCCGCTCTTCTCCGCCACCCCCACCCCGAGGATGAATCCCCTTCGACACCATGGGTTTGGGAGAACAGGTGAGGTGTTGCGCCCCTGAACATTGGGGCCCTGCTCTAAGGACCCCTGGAAGCCCCATTCACCGTCTGGAGCCTTCTGAGAGAGAAAGCAGGTCTGCAGGGAGGGCACAGGCCAGTGTGGTGGGGTCAATAGCCAGGGGGCTTCTGTTGATGCCAGGACCCCAGGCAGAGGTGGGGGCAGGGCAGGGCGCAGATGGGAGGGCTGACTAGGTGTTACTGAGCAGACTCGGAGGTTGGAGATAAAGTCAAAATTAAAAGAACCTAGAAAAATTGGCTTAAAATTCTAACCTATAGACTAATTTTAAGGGAATACACCAAAAATCTAAACCATCTAATGCTAATGCCACTAACATTGCCTGTAATTCAATTCCAGATTCATTCTAATCTGTGGAAACAAACATCCCAAGCCTTGGAACACGTGACAGATAAGCTTCTCATGCCATTGGCTGGATGCCGCTCGGTCTTAACACTTTTTAGATCAGGGCCGAGCAGGAGCAGCTGGTTCCCCCCCAAGCAGGATGGTCTGTGAGGGCCTCTCTCACTGCTCCCAGCCCTGAGAATGCCCTGATGGAGGTCAGAGGGCAGGCCCCGGCCAGAGATCCTGGGAACAAGCAGTCAGCAGGCAGACCTGAGAGCTTGTCCAGGAAGGCCGGCCGTGCTGTTGGCCACCAAGAGCAGACGAGCACACAGTCCACTGCTGCCAGGCACACGGGCACGCTCTCTGGAGGCCCTGGCAGGCATGTGCACGGACACGCATGCACGCACACATGCACTCGTGCCCACAGAGCCCAGGGTTCCCAAGGAGCATGAACATTTCTGGGGGGCCCACCACCCCAACACCCACAAGCATGGTCCCAGGTCCCAGGCTGCCCTTGACGCCCACCACCTGGCTTGTACAGGTTCCCCCAGGTGGCTGTGATCGGAGGCCGGTCTGCTCCCCGGGGGGCCCGCTGGGACTGCGGACGCACGCACCTTGCTGTGGGTAGTGAGGGGGTGGTGGGGTGGCAAAGTCCAGCTTGTCCTTCAGGTCCTCTTCGTTCTCCTTCTGCCACTGCAGACCAACCTGCTGCCAGAGGCTGGCGGCTGACTGCCTGTAGCCCAAGGACATGCGGCATGTGTCAGCACCCAGCCACAGCGGCCTGCGAGGCATCCCATAAATCACCCCACCAGTGGGTGAGCAGCAGTCCCCACCCTGGCCAAGCACCCCGGTGCCCTCGAGGGGGACTGTGCACACGAGATCTGACCACATGACCGATGCAGGACAGGAATGAGCACCCAGGCAGACACCCACCAGTGTCAGCGGGACACAGGGACAACGGGGTAAGCACGGGGTTTCCAGAGGGTTCTGGAGCAAGGAGTAAATGGCTACGGCTGGGAGTGACCACTTGGGAACAGGACACAGAGAGCTCACAGGGAGCTCCCCCCACCACACACACAGCCTGACCTGATCTCGGGGATCTCGTCGTCCAGGCCGCTCAGCAACAGTGGGATGAGCTTGTGGAAGAAGGAGTAGCGGTCCCGTAGCTCCAGCAGCCAAGCTCCCACCACGGAGGCCACTGCCTGCCGCACCTGAGCCCAGACCAGAGTATGGCTGTGGATGCGCATGGTGGGGATGCAGGGGGCTGTTCTAGCTGCCCACAGGCCCTACAGCCAGTATCCCAGCTCCAATCCCAGGTCTGGGCTGAGCCTGAGGTGCGGTGCGGTTCTGAGGCACTGAGCCCTCAGCTGCTGTGGGTCAGGCGGGAATGTTCCCCCTTGGGCAGTGCACAGACAGAAACACACACACACACACACACACACCAACCACTCGGGTCCGCAGTATGAGACACACACAGGCCAGGCTGCATGCTCATCTGAACACTGAGCAGGAACATCCCAGGAGGGAAGGAGTCTGATCACAACACTCAGAGAGGCCATGGTGTTGGACAGAGGCCAGCAGGCATGGAGACAGTCCTGTTGTCCGGATAGGGTGTGGGTTGTTACCTGGGGGACATCGTCAAATAGTCGCTGAGCCAGGTGGGAGAGCACGTCATCCACGCACTTCCCGGTGCCAAACTGGACGACAGTGCCGGTGGCCTCCAGAACAGCCACGCGGACTTTCCAGTGCTGGTGGGCGATGGTCTGCATCAGTGGGCCTACCAGCGACTCGGCCTGCATGTGGAAGTGGTCTGTGGGGAAGGGAGGGGCTTATAATAGGCTACTCCCTAAAGTAGACATCAGCAGGCAGCCCCGGGGGCGGGAGGCAGTGATGGACTTTTCCCGTCATCCTGGGCTGACCAGTGCATGAGGGGGCCTCCTTCCCCGAGACCCTCAACTCAGGAACGGACGTGAGTGAAGCTGCCATTTAGAGTTCTCAGCCTGACCAGGCTCGGGTCCCCAAGAGCACCCAGACCATCTGGAGGCTTTAGGGGACGCTCAGGGGCTTAACCTGACAGGGAGGTGTGAGAGGGAGCCTGCAGGGGTGACAGCTCCTGTAGCGCACTGGGGAGCACATGTGCAAGCGCCTAGACCCAGCCATTCCTGAAGCACTCCCCTCCCCCAGTTTGCCTCTAGGGAGCTGAAGCAGCCCCAGAGCAGGCAAAGTGCCACCCCTTAGATCCCATTGATGACAGAGGGCTTTGGTGCCGTTGTGGTTAAGGCTCTTGGTTTGAATCTGGCACCACTCCATGGCAGAAAGACGAGGCTGTCTGCTTCTGTGAAGACTTACAGCCATAAAAACCCCAAGGCCCTGTGAGCTGGGAAAGCCCTGTCTGTCTTATAGGGCAGCTGGGTTGGGACAGTTCTATTCCATCCCACAGGGCGGCTGTGAGTCCCACAAGGGTTTGGTTGGAGTTAGGGTGTTATAGTCTGCTAAGTGGCCATTTCAAACCCCTCTGGACCACGTCTGTCTGTCTGTCTTGCCAGGAGCAAAGGGCACGCCTTTCTCCCTGGGAGCAACCCAATGATTAGATCCCCCACTTCGTGCCACCAACCATGCTGACTGTCCTCACACCTCCTTTTTGTTTCTGTAAACTACCCTCCCACCCACTGAGCGTCGGCCTGAATGTGCGGTCCACGGGGTCCTTCCTGGCAAACCTACTTGGGCCCCCTGCCTCCCCACATCCCAGTCAGGGATGGCCAGCCAGAGAGGGCCAGGCCCCGCAGAGCCCCCAGGAAAGGGGCGCCAACGTCTAGCAACGTGGAGAATAGACAAAGGGGAAGCCAATTAGGGCGGGCAGGAGCCTTCAGAGGATGAATGAGCATGAAAAGGTGGGAAGAGATGGGGTTTTCCAGAACACCCCTTCATCTGCTTGCATTAAAATTGTGGGGCCCCAGCCCCACACCTGCTGTCCCACAGGGTCTCCGAGGCTGTAGCTCCTTCTAAACAGCCTCCTCTCTCTCCAGGAACAGTGGGTGGGTTGCAACCACTTTGCTCAACGACTGGACACTTTAACCACCGCACCACCAGTCCTTATTCCCTCCCACACCCCCAAACCAGAAAATAAACTCACTGCCATCGAGGTGATTCTGACTCACAGGGACCCTAGGGGGCAAGGGAGAGCCGTCCTGGGTGTTTCCCCAGCTGTAATTGTCTAGGAGTAGAAACCTTGTAGTTACAGCCCAAGGTGTGACTCCTGTATCCCCAGGCCCCGCTTTGGAACATCTCTGGGGCGTTTGCACGTGAGCCACGACGCCCACGCAGCTGTTTCCGTGTCGAGAGCCATACTGGGCAGCTGTCGTCCCCGCCCCCGGGGGTACCTGGCGTGGCGCGCGCCAGGGCGGC